AGTCGATAGTCCGGCTCGTTTTTTGGCTCGATGCACGGTTGTAGACGATACACCCAGCTTATTTGTGGCATCTCGGAGAGAGAGGTTAGGGTTTCGCTTGAAACTACCGGCAACTCTCTTTGTCGTCTCAGCGGCTTCCAGTTTTCGATTTCCCCCCGATCCAGACTTCCTGGCTGTCGACAAACGTTCCCCAAACACTTTAATTACATTTGTAACGGTTGATTTGGCAACTTTTAGTGATTTTGCCAACTTTGCGTGCGAGTAGCTCGGATTTTCGCGATGCGCGAGCAAAATTTTGATACGCTGCTCTTCTTGCTTGGACGGCATTTTGACAACTGAAGAGTGAATTCCAAAATCAAAATAGGAGCAACATTCTAAACACACACACCTTCAAAATGAGGGGTGTTCAGGTTTTTTAAATGCAAAATTGAAAGAAATACGTCAAGTTGATATTGACCAAATTTTGACCGTATCACCCTTTATGGGGTTGTTCTCGATATGCGATTCACACATATGTAGCATTTGTTTGTTTACATTAATTTGCTGCGTGTTGCTCTATCCATTCCAATCGATAGAATTGTCCAAAACTGTTTCATATCGCTTTTAAAACACCCAAACTTCTCAAGTGAGTTTGACCATTGTCGGAAATCGGTTTTTATTCGGCAACCTTTCCATTTGTAGTGCGAATAGATCATTTCAAGAAAAACCTTGGGAGCGTTCCATTTTTCACTTAAAATTTATATCGGAGATGAACTAGCCAGTTGGCTCAAAATCTCCATAAAAGTTTAAAAAGGATAAGACTTAAAATTTACACTTATGTTCGCTAATTCCTCTGTTGTTCCTGGATCGATTTTCAAATAGGCCTTTGTCAAAATTAATTCCATGTCTATCAGAAATAAGTACAGTAGAATACCAGGGCTGTTTTTTTTTTTAATTATAGTCACTAGACTGATGCAAAATTTGAAATTTTCGAAATTTTTAATAATCTTATGGCAAGATTAAGCAACTGTATTGTGGGCAACACTGTATTCTGCAGTGTGACATAGTAGCCATGATTTATGTCCTCTATTCTACGCGCCATAAACACCAATGTTGCCTGCTGAACAGTTGATAGAGCATAATCATAAGACATCAGTGACTTGAATCATTAATAATTTTTGTTCCTTACATTTGATCGAAAAGTGGTCTTGAACAAAGTTGTAGTTGAGAATTTTTTCAACAAGCTCAGCTATCATTTTCTAAAGTAAAGTGAACTGGCTAATTTTGAGATAGATATGAACCGAAATTATGGTTTCTCCATAGAAATTCCAATATAAACTTCAAATGGTTTGCGCCAAGTCAGTTTCTTACTAAATGAGTTCAAATTTTGGGAGGCTAATCAGGGCCCAATTTGGAACCGTTTGAGCACTGTGGAGCGAAAATTTAAAATTTTGCATCAGTCTAATAGTCACTTTAACGATCTTGGGTCATTCGTGACTTGTTCGAGGGTGAGATTTGAACTCGTGACTTTGGCGTGAGAGGTATGGATGCTAACCACTACGCCGGGGTCACCCCCATACCAAGGTTATTTTAAAATGTTTTATCTGTAAAATTTAAATGAAAATTCATCAATTCAGAGTAAACAAGTCAATTTGTGTGTTTGGTACGATACTTTAGTTAATAAGCTACGGAACGAAGTCAATGAGAATGCGTGATATAAAGGTTTGCACCCATTATTCCCAAAAACAAAAGAAGCACTCCAACCGAATCATGTTTTATCTTCATCCGATAGGCCGAAGTGAATTCATTGGCATTTTAATGGCGTTTCAATGCGTTAGGCCGAGTTTAGAATCCGTACGCCGAGTTTGGCGTCAAGAAGCAGTGTTAGACTTTTGACAATATCTCAACGATTGGTATCTCTTTATCAAATCTTACTGTACGTACGGAAAGGTAAATAAATTTGAAAGTCATAAGTACTAATAACATTCTGTTTGGTGCTAAACTGCGCTAAATTAAGAAAGACTAAGTGCGGGTTGTGCTTGATAGGCCGGAAATGGGGTAGCTAACCCTACAGCATAAAACTTAATAAATAGGCATATCAAACTTGACCTCTCACGGCCATCATGAAAATCATCATAACGATGCAGATTTTGAAATTCTGTACTGTGATGCAGTGATGGCATAATCATTAGCAAATTGATATTTTCCCGCTCTCATACGCTCTCAATATCAATCCTTTATGTATATTGATTTCACAAGTTCCTTCGATATTGCGAGACAATTCAAAAGTGTAAAGTTGAAGCCGAGAGTTGAATCGACGCAAACATGATTCCGTTGCGCCTCGTTTTCCTAGAAAGAGAAGGGATAATAATGCTATCTGTTTATTGTCTTCAGCGATGGCAGACACGAATCAACTGCTGCCAGCCGTTATGGAAGTTTCGGTTACGTTCGGATGTAAAGCAAAAATCACGAAACTCAATCTTGCCACAGTTAGGTGAGATTTGCAGCTGATGAGATTTTTAGCTTGATATTCGAGGTGAAATTTGATTTTTTGATATTTTCCAACACTGCTGTGAGGTATGGGAGTTGAATCTTTTTTTTTCAATTGTTTTTTTGTTAGGCTCAAATGTCCAAAAGACTCCACAGGGCCGAGAACCATAAAATTATTTAATAATATCAATCAACTATTAAAGGGGACATAGTTAATGAGTCCTACTTATTCTTCCTTAGAGGTGATTTGAGTTTAGCTTCCGCTTTTATCCATGCCCTCAACTACATTGCTTCATCTTACTGTTTTCCCTTCAGCAACGCCCGCCGCTTCGCCTTGTCTTTATCCATTATCCGCTCCTTCTCGGTAAAGCTATCCCGAATTTGAGGTAGTAGTACGAACTTGAAAAAATTCTTCGGCGTCCGGAGACGTCACATCCATCACCACCACTCTTGTAGGACCTCAACCGAAACCTCGTTTGGCGATGCACTTCCAGTCACTACACCAGCGTACGCACTGGTATCTTCCTCATTCCTTTGTTGGTTTTCTTCTTACGTTTGTTGTTGTGCTGGCTGCTTCCGATCCTTCCGCTTGGGGCAGGAATTCATCCCCCCTCCGCCTTACAAAGGAAAAATAAACTTGTTGTTCCCTTGATAGAATATGTTCCCTTTTCGATAAAGAAAATGCAGCGAGTTGGGAACCTACATCTATTTATAGACCCCGCACACCTGTGTGCATATCCCTCCCCCCTCTGGTGGGAGGTCGTCCACTCTCACATATTGAACGGTTCCCTCAGCAGGCAACATGCGTACTTCGGCTAGCTTCCTGTCGACAGAATGAAAAAAATAATTGTCCACGGTTATTCAACAAGAAATCTTCTAAATTATAATTGATAAACATAGATTTTTCCTCCGCAATGCGATATGTAGTGAATAGCGATAATTTACACTGAATCCGCGTCCAGTTGCAATTTCATCCATAGATGGTCTCGCCGAGCCATGTGCGAAGCTGAAACTAATCGACAGCTTTATTTCAACGGACATCTCGAGTTGTTTGCTTCCAACGGGGCAACGACAAAAACGAACAAACTTCAAAGAATGAGTTGCTTTCGAAAAACAGACAATCACTCACATAAATTGTGAATGACAGAAGAGGCTGACTTCAAGCGAAGCTTGATGTCTCGGAATCTGTAAACATCGAGTGAATAGACATTTTCAACTGAAGCAAGCGATTCAAGGAAATGTTGGATTTAGCAGTAGTCCATTCAAAATTAGTCATTTCTAAAGAATCTTACAATCAACGAAGTTTAGCAGTCATTGAATTTTTGATTTAGGGCTGTTGAATTTGTGCTCACTTCATAGAACGGACGTTCACAAAATGAAAATGATGGTACGATTTGCATGATAATCAATTTGCCAGAATAATTATTAGGAAAATCAAAATTTTGTTTGACTGAGTTAGATGTCCAGAATAAAATGGTATCGGGTTTTTATTCGATGAATTTTGTTTCGTCATATCATGGAATAGGCGGATATCATCCTTAATTGAATTTCACCTTCAATGCGGTAGAGTTAGGACACATTGAGACAGTTGATATAAGAAGTTGATGCTGACGCTGACAGTTGTGTTTCCAGATCTTTTAACAGACAACATTTTAGAAATATTTTTTCTCAGAAATATTAACTTGGAAATCAAAAACAGATGAAATACGGGTCTTTTTCGCTTTATCCCAACTGAAACTCAAATCATTCGCATGTATATTGATCGATTTCAGACCTAGCTACTGTCCCAAAAGTAGAACGTCGTTCATAAATTTCTTTTCAAATATGTTGTAGAAATCATTTTTCTGGAGAAATTCTATATTTAAAATCCCTTCTTCTTCTTCTTATTTATATTTCAGTCTTATTGCATATTGCATATTAGCTTATTGCGTGCTCGCAACTTAGTGTTGTAGATGCACTTCCACAGTTATTAATTGAGAGCTTTCGATGCCAATACCAATGCATGAATTTGTATATTGTGTGGCAAGCACAATGATGCTCTATGCCTAGGGGAGTCGAGAAAATTTCCAACCCGAAAGATTCCCTCGACCGGACCGGGAAACGAACCCGCCGCCTCCGGCTTGGTAATACCGTGCCTTTACTGACTATGAGGCCCCGTCCCAGCTTATCAATCCAAGGATTGATTTATATTACAAATGCAGTAAAAACAGCCAAATTCAGGGAAATTCAGCGTCGGGCTTCCCAGGGGTTCCACAGATCGAAACCTATGTACATCGATACGGAGAATAAAATTTAAACAACGTATATGTAACAATTAGATACAGATCGCTTTTCCCTTATCACAGTAGTTAGGAAGTTGATTAGGTTAAATAAAAATTGATTATTTCAAGGTGATAGAAATTAATGAAATCGTATCCACGATCTCCACGAACAAAATAAACCTAGCCAGCTTTTGTGAAATCAAATCAGATTTAAAAGAACTTACGATGACAATCTTAAAAATAATATTTCAGTAGTCGGAGTGCACATACCTGCTCAAATGAAGTTATCCTCAGTTGCCAACGCAGACATATTTAAGTATCCTCGGTAAACGACGCAAAACTTTAACTTAACACAAATTCTTTACGAAGTATCCTTAATCCTATTATTGCATTATCAGTTGAAATATACACGGACAACAACACTTAGCTCACTGTACACACAAATTTCACCCCAAACTATCTATCCACTGTGGCATACCAGATGTGCCATTCAAAATGTTATAATCCACAAACCATTTGAAATTTTCTGCCCCACCAACTCGTAAGACAAATAGTTTCATGTAAAAACTCGTCCTTCAAACTACCGCCTAAACAATCACCACCCCACCAAACATTCAGACTCCACCAGTGGCACCTGCATCACACATCAGGTGCAATCTGTTACTCGAGCACTAATCTCTGCCAGAATCCACTTTACTCATTTTGTAGCTCTTCACCCGAAGGATCGACGAAAAAAAAAAAGTAAGAACATCTACTCAACGGGACAAAAAAGCACCTTCCGCACACGAAGCCAACCGATATAGCCGGACAACGCGTTCAAATTGCAATCCTTTTTGGGTCACCTCTCGTTGCATATTGCATCTCACTTCCACTTTCACGAGCACATGGATTGACAGCGACTCTCGCTGACTGAAAGGATTAACACAAATCGTTACACAAAAAGGTATTCAAAACGACTTTTTCCTGTATGTCATCGTCGTCAGCATCTGTCGGGCAGCATCCTTTCCTGCTATACACATGAGTCGTTATTTTTATTTCCCGTTTTTTTTTGTGACTCCGAAGCGTATCAGCTTGCACTGGCCCGCAGAGAAACAGCAAAACAAATCATCACTCATTCGCCTTAATGGCCATCACTCGGTCAGGACACCACACACAATCGGGGAAAGTGAGCTGCACCACACTTTCAATACTATCCGGAAATGAGAATTCCCTGTCGACGGTCACACTGTATCCGTTTTCCTACGTGCAAATACCACTACTGCTTCAAAAGTATCTCCGTTCAACACCAGGAGCTGCTGCTCTGAACTGACTTGCTTGCAGGTCAAAATCACGCCGGAAAACGCGTGTTATCGCAACCCCATCGCCGTGAGAACTGCCGCCAAAAACCGTTTCCAAGTGGCAAGTGTGGCCAGTGCCAGAAAATGGGCTCTAGCCAGTTGGGCAACCACCAGCACCAACAGCAGCAACGTCAGCGTCGGCGGCCAACCAGCCAGCGGGGTACCACCGTCGAGTGACGCATGATCAACGGTAGCCGTGACCGTGACACGAACCGTGCCACGAAAGCTCGCTTCCCCTTCGGAAGCGACAGAGTCGCCGGACGGTTGTGGAATGAACACCAAGGAGACTCCCGAAGTTGGGTTCGTGCTTTTCTCCTTCGAGTGGGTTGTTTCCAATTGAAATGTATTCATTTTGGTGAACGGTAACAGTGTAGCCGGAGTTTTACCTTTGTTAAATATCCTTTCCTGAAACTAAGGTTTTAAAATTGGATTCAACACGTCTTTTTTGTCTGCGACCATTAGCCAGCCACACAAACTATTTCACCTAGGGGAAAGATCTAAGATTGGGCCCATCGCTAAAAATCTGCTATTTATCAATTTTATCTAGATGAACGCCTTTTTGGGACGTTACTAATGTATATTTTTGGTTGCTATCGAAAATTTAGTCGACTGCTGAATTAATGTATGGGCCCAAATTAGGGACACTTAGGCTGACATTACCTGCATTTCCCCTATATAAAACATGCCCAATCGCTCTAACTCGACAGTTTGATTTCGACATCGTAGAAAGAAATTGAAAATGAGAAATTGGCTCGGCAAGACGAAATTTTGTGATATCTGTAAGTACGTCTGTGGACGCGCACCAAGCTTTCTCCGATATCTGGTTGTGGTTGTGGTTGATATCTTATGTGGCATATTGACAAATCCAACTTAATGCCGGCGCTGTAATCGTAGCGGTGATGAACTTGAGATCATGTTTTCAATAGCATATATTTGCAAATTTATCATAAGAAAACTATTTTTACGTGTTATAATTGCTATATTCAATAACAGACAGCAAATATGAACAGAAAAGTTGTGCCTCTCTACGTAAGTAAATTCTAGTTTTTAAATTCAAAATTATTGACTTCTAAAAGGGCTATTTGAATTTTGTGTTTCTGGTGGTTTGTGCGACTAGAATCGGCGGGAGGAAAATTAAAAATAATTATTGTGAGGCTATTAGTAGTGTTGGCTGATGTGTAGAAAGAGCTTTTGGAGCTAACTATTGTGTCTGAATTGGAAAGATTTCGTGTGTTTAAGTTTCGAATTCACTATCGTGATTGTGTTTGGTCATGTTTGATAGTTTATTGTAGCTTAGAATCGACCCAAGAAATGCAACGGTGGAAGTGGGACTTGACCGCGTGGATCTATTATTAGGTTTTTGCAAAATGCATTACTTTGTGCACAGAGTGGAAAGATATTTAGTTGTGGTTGTTTAGAGATGACTAGAGAAAGATAAGCATCAGGAATGCGCTCCCGGATGTATTGATTTGGTGAGTGTGTTTCAGTTGAAGATTGTTCTTACACATTTCTCGATTGCATTTTCGAGGGGACGTGTCTGCTTTTGTGGGTAGTGCGTTTGATTGTCGGTTTGGTGTGGTTGGTGGCTCGCCCGCGCGTTGTGGCGCCGCCATCAGGTAGGGGAAAATTTCTCCTATCTGATGGTGGTGTTGGCATGCGTGGGTGGGATGCTGGTTGCGCCGGATTGGCGATGGGATGCATTGTTTGCGGGAGTGGATGCGTCCCTTCGGGGGAGTATTCGAGATTTATGTATGTTCATCGTTCATCGTTTCATTTGTCAGAGTGATGACCACGGTCGCATGATGCATGTTCCTCGGATTTTTACGGTTAGGTGTATACGAATAATTCACTATGATTTTATTTCCATCTTGATATAGTTTGAGCTTGAATACATCCTAGGTCCTATTATATTATTATTATTAAATATTCATTGATAAATATTTATAACAGAGTCAAAACACAACTGGAAGAATCAACGTAACATCATTTGATTTTCTCTAATGTATGTTTAACGTTCATATGACAGTTAAATTAACCATTTTATTTTTCCTTTCTAGGATAGAAAGTTACATAACTTATTGATAAATTTATTTGTATATTTGTAAATACTTATTTAATCAAATTCTGAATCTGAATGATGAGGAAGCTTATTGTGTTCGCGAGCCTTCCGTTTAGGCTGGACGCATTGATTTAAATCTTTAAGTTTATTTTCAGCTCTTCGACATTTTTAGATTAATATTATAATGATTCACTATTTTCAGCCTTCGTTCAGGAAAATCCAAAAAATCATTGGAATGCATGTTACAATTGCATGAAAACTGTTAACTGTCCAAATAACCTCGATTTTTCTGACTATTGATGCATTATGAAAGTTTACCATTATTTAAAAAAAAAAGCATTCCATATTGCGTTAAGAAATTCCATGGTGCATAATAAAGTGTTTGTTTCAATTCCAATAAAATATCAGAAGTTGAAATCAGTTGAATGTATTGAGGTTAACTGAAATCGAGCTTATTTGTATTTTGTAGTACTTGTTTATTTAACATTATTTTATATATTGCATGACTAGTAAATTAGTTTTATTTCACATATTTAAAATCTCATTATATCACTATATAACTATCATTATATAACTATAATCTTCATTTCTAGAAAATAGTGGTCCTGTAGATCCTGAAGGACCAGAAGGTGTATCAAATAGCTTATCATTGCTATTTACTTTTTATTTTATTATAATATAATATGAATTTGGCCGGTTGCTTATGGTGCAGCTCCACTTGGTTATTTGGCTGAGATCATTCCTTTTTATTTATTTATACAGTAACCCCTCCCTATCTTTCAAACATCAATTCAGCTTATCGTTTACCAAAACGAACCTTGCTGCAAACCCTACCCTCTTACCCAACATCCCAGTGACTCCTCGTGGAAGTGCAGAGGATTTCTCGGCTTCCATCAAAACGAGTGTCACGTCAACACATTCCTACCCATTCCTTTCTTGACCTGCGGTCAGGCGCGGCTGGCGCTGGTATTGCCTAATTTTAGATCACCAGTTTTTACACATTGAGGATGATTGCTAGTCCTAAGCATCGTCTATTGGTTCACTGTGTAATTACAGCTGATCTGGCAATAACAGAGTAACAACCGTGGGCGGTCAATCATGCATGCTCATGCTCAAAATTATTGACTTCTAAAAGGAACTTAAAAATGAGGATGCTTAGAATTCTATAGATCACCTTCAACCAAGCTGCTTAAGCCACAAATAGCCTTTTATCAGAACTTTTGGTGACTTTGGTTGATACTTGCCTGGAAAAATTTTTAAACAAATTGTATTTTTATACAAATTCATAGAAAACCGATGTCATCATGCGATCATGTTTAACGACCTTTTCGACGTGATGAACAGCATGCACAAAAATTCTCAATGTTTCCAAAATCCTTTGTCAATAGATAACATTGACCATTATCACGAAGCCTTCAACTACATCGAGGATTACATAAATTCAAAATTTCAATTGGCTCCACACAGAAAAAAAATAAATTTTTATGTTTATGTTTAATAAATTTTAAATGTCGACAATCTCATGTAATTTTTATGGCCACAACATTAAACAAATCTCGATGAACATTTCAAATGGTCCTATCTTCTTTGATCGATTCTCTTAATCGACTTTCTCTTTTGATAACCACTGCTATGCAAACAGATTTTGCAACATAGTTTGATAAAGGAGATTCTTTTTTTTTAACTAGTTTTTTTTTATTTTTTCTAGGCTCAGTCGTGTGTGACACTTCGCGGAGCCAAAATCAGTAATGTTTGATTTAAATTTTAAATAGCAGTATTTCTAGGTTAGTACTGGGTACCAATTATTCTGGCGGGCTCGAGGTTTTAATGGGTAACAATTTCAATTGGAAGGATCTAGGTAGGAAACTGGTTTCTGAAGCCTCCTTCAGATACTACTCTCGGACGGTTGACCAAATCCTGGCTGGACAACAGGAGGATAATAAGAATGGGACACAATGACTGGAAATTGTTTGGAATGGAGGGGACGGTCACCTCAAACTCTAATATAAAACAAACAAAGGAATTCGTAGATTGCCTGCATGTAGGGAAGATCACGTGTTCCCAATACATCTCTTACTTCACGGAAGGGTTGTCTACCTCGGGCCACTAGGGCATCCAATAGTCGTGCTCTGGAGGCGTCATTACCCGGGCAATACCAAACTGCGTGATCGATGTCATCATAACCGGTTCTGCACCTACATATATTGCTGTCAACGAGGTTTATTCTATAGAGATGTGCGTCTAGCGAGTAGTGGTTGGAAATAAGTCTTGACATCACTCGAATGAATCCCCGACTTACATCCAGACCTTTGAACTACGAAGAAACAATTTGAATAATGGAATGTAACCACCGCCCAAGAGAATTTCTTGTCCAATCGTTTTGCCAACTTAAAAGAGAACTCTGACGTACCAATGGGAAAAATTCATCATATGAAATTCTTCTATCATAAATCTCGCCCACCTTTGCAAGAGAATCTGCCTTCTCATTGCCTGGGATTGAGCAATGTGAGGGGACCCGAAAAAGGTAATCATTTATGCGATCTTTGACCAGCACACTCATCTGTTCCCTTGCCTTTGAAAGGAAAAAAGATGAGTGCCTACCTTGTTTCATCGACCGAATAGCCTCAAACGAACTGAGACTATCCGAGAAGCTGAAGTAATGGTCTATGGGCATATCGGAAATCATCCCCAATGCGAAGTTGATTGCTGCTAGCTCAGCAACATAAACGGAACAAGGTTCCTGAAGTTTCCGAAAGGCGGTTGAGTATTCATTGAAGACGCCGAAGCCAGCGGATCCATCAATGCGTGATCCATCAGTGAAAAATCTTCTATTGCAATTGACTTCCCAACAAACAATTTGAGTTGATTAACAGCTGAAAACGCCTTTTCTTAGCTGAAGAAGCTTATTTTTGCCTGAATA